TGCAACTAGTCAGTCTGAAAGTTCCAGACCATCAAGCCACTGTAGGCTGCTTTAAACTGATGTTTTTCAGCACACCGTCAACCGTGGTTTAAGAAAGACACATTTCTGTCTATTATTCATTCTCCTCTCTTTCTGTTCCTCATTTCTGTCTGATTTTGCAGCCAAACTATGTGCTACAGACGGATGAGCACCGAGCGGGGCTTCTGGCAAGATACGGGCCAGAGAAACTTTACCAGGCTGAAAGAAATTTCAACGCAGCACAGGACTTGGACGTGTCCATACTGGAGGGAGACATAGTGGGTGTCATCAAGCAGCAAGACCCCATGGGCAGCCAGAACCGCTGGCTAATAGACAATGGAGGTTTGTATCACATTATCTGTGTGTGATACATGTGTCAGCACTTCCTAAAATACATTTGGCTTGAACACACTTTTTTTTTTTTCTCTCCTTCAGTTACAAAGGGCTTTGTGTATAGCTCCTTCTTAAAGCCCTACAATCCACGCAGGAGTCAGTCGGATGTTTCCATTGAGAGCCAATCATCAAATGAGTCAGGCTACGGTGGATCCTCTCCCATGTTCTCACGGCAAAATAGTAGCAGCACTCTGACTTTCAACCAGGAGACATCGACTGTCAGCTTCACAACGGCGATGCCTCCACACCAATCACACACTCGCCCGAATCAAGAGACCACTCCGAGAAAAAACAGAGAGGCTTCTTCAACCAACTACTCTTCCTCCAGTCAGAGGGATTCCCTCGACCCCACCTTCAGAAACTCTCCCGATCACAAAGAACTGTCCGAGACAGCCTGTCGAAATAACAGGGAACACTCAGAGCCCTCCAACCGAAATTCCACCAATCACAGAGACTCTTTAGACCCTGATAAAAACACTCCTACCAATCACAGAGACCCTTCAGACTTCTCTGAGACAGATTCTTGTCCCTCCAGTAGGGACTCCAGGTATGAACCATCTTCGAGGTACTACGACTCACGTGGTGCTTACGGCTCACAGCAGAGACAAAATGGAGACTATTCGGTACAGCAGAGAACGCCACAGTACCCTCCTGAGGAGTATATAGATCCAGAGCCTGAACGTGAGATAGATGGACAGCAGGTATGTCATATTGCAAACAGAACGATATCAGTCCAGAATTCAGTGATTGCATACTTTAAACATGAAATGACATTCACAACCCATTTTAATTCCAATATGTAACATGTTTCAGAGTGAAACAAATGAGAATATGACAATGTTAATTAACAATTTTGTATGCAAATTAAATAAATGAAATGATTTTAAATAATTAGTCATTTTAAATAGAAAAATGCAATTACAAAAAGAAATATAATTTGTAATAAATTTATAATATAATAAAATAATTAAACTATCATTTAACATATTTGATAATGACTTCTTCATATTAATAGGTTCAGTTTTGTCTTGTCATGTTGAAAATCTCCTTATTAGTTATTATTAGTTAGTTGTTACACCATTTGATCTTTAAAAATATTGTGTACAAATTAATAATTTTAACTGTATAGTAATTAGGAAATAAAATGAATTTATTTAATGTAATTATAAAAATACATATAATTTAGCACAGATATAATTTATGTGTAACAAAATAATTAAACCACATTGTTTGACATCTGTAGTTCTTCATATTATTAGGTTCAGTTTTGATTTCATGTTGACTTTAAAACCTTCTGTAGCTCCCTGATATTGATACACCACCATGTTAATCAACAATTTGGTATATACATTAATAGTAATAATAATAATTATCATCATCATCATAAAATAATGATGGTAAATAACTAAACAGGTTTTGCTTCTTGTCAATGATTATTAATATTCATTTTCCTACTTTATATTTTCTTTCAGATATATTACGCTCTTTACTCCTTCAGTGCACGGTGTGCAAATGAGCTCAGCATTTCAGCCAATCAGCAGGTCCGAATCCTTGAGTTCCAGGACATGAATGGCAACCAGGAGTGGTGGCTGGGGGAGGCAGGAGGACGGAGGGGTTACGTCCCATCCAACTACATTCGCAAATCTGAGTACACATGAGCTGTACATTTCTACAAGAACAATCCCCAACTATGCCCCAGACCACTAACAGGCCAACTCATTACGGGGAGAACACTACAAAAGGACGTTATTGTGCCTTAACTATAGAGGAGATGCACTGATGTGGTGAACTGGTCATTGCTACTGATGAAAAAAAAAATTATACCCTCCATATTGACTACAGTCAATGAATGTAACTCCTGACTCCTAGTGGTCATAGAGGATGGTGCACGTGAAATTTGAAATAATGGGAGTGAAAAAATAAATAGTTTGGACTGAGAGGCAGTTTGGTGTTGGATTCAATGATCTGACATGTTCTGTTGTTCTTGGATACTCCATTTATAGTGTTAGCACTTAATTGCTCCGTAGTGAGCATAGATCTTTTTTTGATGTGTAAGAGTGGAGTGGAGGAATTGTATTGGGTATGTGCGATTCACACTGGAAGTAGACTGATGGAATTGATATTCTAGGACTGGCATGATAGTGATGCCCGTAAATAAGAGTGCAAGAGGGTGAATGAGTGTTTGTTTGTGTGCCAGTGAGTGTGTGGAGTGTTTTGAGATGATGCCTTCCTTCATCTGACAATCATAGTGCACCTCTAAAGAGAAAGAAAAAAAAGATTTTGCTGGGTTTCAGTGAATGCGAACAAAACAATTCATATGAAGTGTTTGGATTTATTCCCCATTGTGGCTCCCAGATGATAACAATATTACCACTGGTGACCATATCATATTGCTGAAAATATGAACGAAATGCAAGAGACACTTTTTGTAAGGTACAGTGTTTTTTACCTTTTTACTTTTTGACAGCATTAAATTTGCCACTTGCACTTGAATGCATTTACAAGTTAATATTGATGTTTTGAGCAGTTGTGAGTGAGTTCAAGGCACCCTTGAGCTCATTGCACCAACAGAACTCTGAATTATTTATCTCTCATGCTGTATATACTGAGAATGAACTTCTGTACTCCAGTGTGAACTGATCCATTTCTCCTCTTTTAAATAAAAAAGAAATGAGTTGAAAAACAGTTGTTTGTTATGTCTTGTCCGTGGCCTATCAATTATATCAGTCGTGGCCTAATGGTTAGAGAGTCAGACTTGTAACCCAAAGGTCTCAGTATCGGCAGGGATTGTAGGTTGGGGGAGTGAATGTACAGCGCTCTCTAACACTTTGAATACCAAGACTGAGGTGAGACCTTTGAACGAGGCACCGAACCCCCAACTGCTCCCTGGGTGCAGCAACAAAAAAAAAAAGCGAGTGGTGTCTGTGTGTGTTCACCACTCACTGCTGTGTGTGTGTGCACTTGGATGGGTTAAAATCAGAACACAAATTCCAAGTATTGAACACCATGCTTGGCGTCATGTCACGTTCACGTTCAATATCTTATAGTTCCAGAGTATGGTAGTACCAGTTTGGAAATATTTGGCGATACTGATTTTAACAAAATGTTCAGATTATTGTTTTGGTTAAGAATTATGCTTTAAATTAACACAATTCAATTACACCCTTACAAAAGTATAAAATCTATTTTTGTTTTATTAACAATCATTTCCATTGAACGAAACTGAAATAAATATGAAAGATGAAATTCTTTCACTGCAGTCAGCTGTTTTCTAAAACAGTAGCAAAGACATTTTAAGTCAACCTTATCAAGAGTAAACTCTGCTGGGTAACTGACCTAAAATCTGTGATTAGTCAATAACACTGGATCAATGCACAAATACTGCACACAATATCGTGAGATGTTTTTTCTTTTTCTTTGTTTTTTTGACTGCCAAGATTGCTGAATTCACATTATAAAGCCATAAGTAAAAATTAAATTAGTTCCAGAGTATGGTAGTACCAGTTTGGAAATATTTGGCGATACTGATTTTAACAAAATGTTCAGATTATTGTTTTGGTTAAGAATTATGCTTTAAATTAACACAATTCAATTACACCCTTACAAAAGTATAAAATCTATTTTTGTTTTATTAACAATCATTTCCATTGAACGAAACTGAAATAAATATGAAAGATGAAATTCTTTCACTGCAGTCAGCTGTTTTCTAAAACAGTAGCAAAGACATTTTAAGTCAACCTTATCAAGAGTAAACTCTGCTGGGTAACTGACCTAAAATCTGTGATTAGTCAATAACACTGGATCAATGCACAAATACTGCACACAATATCGTGAGATGTTTTTTCTTTTTCTTTCTTTTTTTGACTGCCAAGATTGCTGAATTCACATTATAAAGCCATAAGTAAAAATTAAATGGTAAATATTTATTTATATTAATACTATTAATTTATATATATATACAGTGGGTACGGAAAGTATTCAGACCCCCTTAAATTTTTCACTCTTTGTTATATTGCAGCCATTTGCTAAAATCATTTGTTAATTTTTTTTCCT